TAATGTTTAATAAAAATGCTGCCCTTTGGGATTCCAGGAGCAAAGGCCCCAACCTGACTGGTGTGGACTCTGGTTCCAATTTGCCAAGGGCCCGGAGAGGTGCCTGGATTACCTGGTGCCGATCTTGAGGGAAGAAGCTCATGGGGTGCTTTGCATGCGTCGCTGAGGTCACTATAAACCTCTTCTTCCCGGGGTGCTGCTACTGCAGCTGCAGAAGCAAATTTGACTCTTTTTGTTTGTTTGTTTGTTTGTTTTTCGAGACAAGGTTTCTCTGCGTAGCTTTGCGCCTTTCCTGGAACTCACTCTGTAGTCCAGGCTGGCCTCGAACTCACAGAGATCCACCTGCCTCTACCTCCCGAGTGCTGGGATTAAAGGCGTGCACCACCACCGCCCGGCCCAAATTTGACTCTTAAGTGCTTTTCGTGTGTGGCCATATATATGTCTAATGATTCCATGCTGGTGTTAAAATACCTACTCTGAAAGTCCTAACTAAGAGTTTTCTGTTTAAAGGTGATTGACACTTCCTTTGTCTACCTTTTCCAGAGAGAGGAGGAGCTCTAGCGTTTGGGACTATTTCTGCAGTTTGCCTCTTGGTTTTGTCTGTCTGGGAGTGTGCCCTCTTGGAGAGTAGGCTCTTTGCTCATGATTGGCCGCTTTCTGTGGGGGTGTCCTTTCCATCAGGAGACCTCCTGTCCTAGGCACCTCTCACCCCACGGCTCAATTCCTCACCTAATTGGCCTTCTGTATTCAGTATTTTTGTGTTGGTCTATGGTCCTTCTCCACCAGAGGAAGCCTCATAAAGGCAGGGCCCCCAGTTGGATTTGTTGACCACAGCCCTAAAAAGTAGTTGGTGGAAGGTTCTTAACTACTTGTCCTGTAAATAAAGTTTACACAAATGAACAGGAAAGGACAGACGGGCTGCCAGCCACTGTGTAAAGGGAGAGCTGTGAATGCAGTGGGTTTGGTTTGCTCACCCCCCCCCCCACCCAACCCCCACTCCACCCCCACTCCCCCACCCCGCCCCAGCAGGGTTTCTGCATATCTTCAGCTGTTTTGAAACTCTTTGTAGACCAAGATAGCACCTGCCTCTGCCTCCCTCCCAAGTGCTGGAATTAAAGGCATGTGCCACCATGTCCAGACTGAATGTAGTGTTTTGCATTAATTTACTTTATGTGCATAACTGTTTTGCACAACACACCTTGCTGTTCGATGCCTAGTCAGTGTGGGGGACCAGCCCCCCACTTTTACGACCAGGGTACTCTTGAGCAGGGAGAAGTGAGGAATATTTAGATAGAAAGAGATACTTAGAAGACAAGAGGAAAGACAGAAACATAGGATAGCCTCAGGAAAGCCTGGGTCAAAACCCACCAGCCCCTTCTGTCTCTTCTAAAGGGCTGTTTATAGAAATGCCAAGAGGTAGAGCAAAAGACCTCCCTGAAGCACAGCCAAGTGCAGAACCTTCTAAACATCTGGTGACCATGCATGTGGTCAAAACATTCCCTTATGCAGCCCTGCTGGGTAAAGCAAGTTCAGATCTCACTAGGAATTCTCTGTGGACCCCAACAAGTCAGAGAGAGTTTCTTACAGCAGAACTCCATGTGTGATTCCACGGAGTCTGAGAGAAATGTGTCCAGATGGAGTGGAGATTGCAGGACTTAATTATAAAATGCTTGTTGCATGTAGTGGAGCATGCCCATAATCCTAGCACTTGGAAGAAAGAGAAGGAGTTCAAAGTCATTTCTAGCTACACGCCGAGTCTAAGGCCAACCTGGACCATGTGAGTAAAAAAACTATAAAGTGCTGCTGCTGGGCATCTTGGAAGGAGTATCCCAGTTGCCTATGTTCTCTGTTAGTTTGTGTGTCTACCCAGGAAAATCTGAGAATTTGCTAAGTCTAGAATGTGTACTGTTTCACAGGAACTTGCCAGTTCTCTGCCAGTTGGGATTGGTTTAAGTAAAGGGTCCGATTGATCATTTGGACAGATTACTTTTTCCAGTGTAGCTGTGCTGGATACCATGGGAGATTAGAGAAGACCGCTGTTTAGCTGGGAGGGCTGGGTGTAGAACCTCTAAGAAAGCCTTGGAAAGAGGAAGCTTTAGGAAAGAGGGCTTTGGAAGGAGGAGAATCAGGTCGGAAGTCCAGAAAGGAGCCCTAAGTGATTTCCAGGGGTTTATTTATGCTCATGTTTACCAAAAAAAGTGTATCAGCCACACAGAGGCGACTTGCTGGAGGTTGATGTTGGAATCCACATGTACTTTCCCCTGGTTTTAGGCAACTCTGAACCAGTGTAATGGCAAAAATGGATGTCAGCCTGTGGTCCTCTCATGAGAAGATGTTGACACAGCCCCTCAAGGACAGTGACGCCGAGGTGAGATGGTTCCTTCATAGGCTTTTACATTGGCGGTCTTGTTAGGATCACTGTGGGTTTTCTGTTGTTGTTTTGTGGGGATTTTGTTTTGTTTCATTTTGATTCTTGTGCTGTTCGGGGTGGAACCCAGGGCCTCACACCTGTTAGGCAGATGTCCTACTACGCACTACTGCATTCCCGGCCTCTAAGTTGCTCGTTAAAATCCTGAGTTGACTACATACAGACAGCTTTGTAGAGTGACAGGTGGAAGCTGGTGTGTAGTGCGGCAGCAGAGCAGTTAATCTCTCAATTACATCTCTGGTACCACCAATAAAGGGGGCAGATGGAGAAGCTGTGGCTGATAGCCCTTTGGGGATAAATGTAGGTATTTCTTTTTTTTTTTTTTTTTGTTTTTTTTTTTTGGTTTTTCGAGACAGGGTTTCTCTGTGTAGCTTTGCGCCTTTCCTGGAACTCACTTGGTAGCCCAGGCTGGCCTCGAACTCACAGAGATCCGCCGGCCTCTGCCTCCCGAGTGCTGGGATTAAAGGCGTGCGCCACCACCGCCCGGCAAATGTAGGTATTTCTGAGGTCAGTGCTAGGTGCTCTAGGACATAGGAAGAAGGTTGGCTCTTCTTCCTTTACATTGCAGTTACAGACACGCTCATAATGCCTAAAAGCAACTTGATGTATAATAGTTTCATTGATCTGTTATTCAGTTGTACAATTCAGTGGTTTTAGTACACAATGGTCCTCAGTTCACACTGTGGTTATGCTCTAATAAACCCACGTAAGTTGATAATAGGCCACGCTGCACGGCATCTACTTCTCACCTGTCACATCCAGGCTTGGCAGTGTGGAGCATGATAGTTAGGAGCGTTTCCCATCATGTGCTCACTGGGCTCTGTGGCTTGCTGCCACTGCCCAGGATCAGGAGGGGAGATCAGAATCTCTCTAGCCTGGGAAAGAGACCTGTTCAAAACTTGAAGTGGTTTCTACTCAGTGCTTTGCCTCTAAAGCGGAGAAATTGAATGTCCCGCAGCATCTATACTCAAAGTGGAGTGAAGAACGTTCTTTTTTTTTTTTTTTTTTTTTTTGGTTTTTCGAGAGAGGGTTTCTCTGTGTAGCTTTGCGCCTTTCCTGGAACTCGCTTTGGAGACCAGGCTGGCCTCGAACTCACAGAGATCCACCTGGCTCTGCCTCCCGAGTGCTGGGATTAAAGGCGTGCGCCACCACCGCCCGGCGTGAAGAACGTTCTTATACCCAGGAATCTGTGAGCAGCTACCCCATTCTCCCTAAATTTCCCAACCCTGGGCAACCATTAGTGAAGTTTCTGTTTCTCTGTGTTTGCTAAAACGTTTTTGGAATAAGGTTCTTAGAAAGAAGAACTTAGTAAAATGTTAGGATACAATTAAAAATTAGCTGGGGCTGGTGGTCATGCCTTTAATGCTGGCAGAGGGGCAAGTGGGTCACTGAATTAGAAGCCAGCCTGGACTATATTCCAGGACAGCCAAGACACAAAGTGAGACCCTGTCTCGGAAAACAAACAAAAACAATAGAAATTAGGTATGATGCTAAATCACGCTGGTTTGATCTTTGGCTCTCTGAGGGTGACTCTGAGCCTCTGGTCACCCCATCTGAGGGTGACCCTGAGCCTCTGGTCATCCCATCCAAGGGTGACCCAGAGCCTCTGGTCATTCCATCCGAGGGTGACCCTGAGCTTCTGTCACCCCATCCGAGGGTGACCCTGAGCCTCTGGTCACCCCATCCGAGGGTGACCCTGAGCCTCTGGTCATTCCTTCTGAGGGTGACCCTGAGCCTCTGGTCACCCCATCCGAGGGTGACCCTGAGCCTCTGGTCATCCCATCCGAGGGTGACCCTGAGCCTGAGCCTCTGGTCACCCCATCCGAGGGTGACCCTGAGCCTCTGGTCATCCCATCCAAGGGTGACCCTGAGCCTGAGCCTCTGGTCACCCCATCCGAGGGTGACCCTGAGCCTCTGGTCATCCCATCCGAGGGTGACCCTGAGCCTCTGGTCACCCCATCCGAGGGTGACCCTGAGCCTCTGTCACCCCACCTTCACTCCCAGGTGTTGAGACTAGAGACACGTGCCAGCAGTTCCTGTTCATTTTGTTAATTTATTTTTTGTTGCATTTTTTTTCTAATTAAACTCTTGTACGGCCAAGGGTGACCTTGAAACTTCATATCCTGAGGACTGAGATTTCAGGCATGTGCCACCCTCCCCAACTATTCAGTGCTGGGGATCAAACCCAAGCAAGGGATTATGAATGCTAGATAAGCATTCTAGCAGCTGAGCTGCCCTCCAGCCCCACGTCTGTTTTCTTCTGATAAGGTTTACAACATCATTAAAAAAGAGAGCTACTGGCAGAAGGTTGGATTAGAGCTGATTGCCTCAGAGAATTTTGCCAGCAGAGCGGTGTTGGAGGCCCTGGGATCTTGCTTAAATAACAAATACTCCGAGGGGTATCCAGGCCAGAGGTGAGTTGGGTGTTCTTTGTTTTTTTGGGGTTTTTTTGTTTTGTTTTTTTTTTTTTTTGGTTTTTCGAGACAGGGTTTCTCTGTGTAGTTTTGGTGCCTGTCCTGGATCTTACATTGTATACCAGGCTGGCCTCAAACTCACAGAGATCCTCCTGCCTCTGCCTCCGGAGTGCTGGGGTTAAAGGCGTGCACCTGACCACCGCCCGGCCTAGTTGAGTGTTCTTAAAGTCCCGCTCTGACCATTTTGTTTTTATTTCTTGTTATGTGTTTCAGGCTGACCTTGAACTCACTGTCTAGCCCAGGCTGCCTCAGCCTTCCAAGTGCCATGGCAGTTGTAATTTACAGTGCCCGGCATCCAACTAATGTGCATCTTTCAAAACCCTGTAGCTTCCTAGCTGCCGGGTTGTCTTCCCTTCTTGCTCTCTGACGTAACTCCTCCAGTTCTCTGCTCGGGTGGGATTCTGTGATCTCTCTCAGAGCAGTCATACTCAACAGTCCCTTTATAAGACCTGCCTAGGATAGGCTGGCCTTGTCCTCCCAGTTCAAGTGGGTATAAGCAGGCTTGTCTATGAGAGATGTAGGAAAGGTCATTGTCCTGTGGGAAAGCTACAGAGTGGCATTTGCTCTGAGAATCTTTATGTCTGGGAAGTAAAAACTGTATTGCGGGCTCAGCCTCCCTTCTCTAAAATGCTTACAATCAGAAGTGTTTTTCATTAAACTATCTACTTGATTCTTTGGTTAAGCCTGCCGTATCTGAAACTAGTGTTTCAAAACTTGGAGCTTTGGGTGTTTTGTTTTGTGAGTCTTACTGTGTCGCAGCCATACAACTTAGTGTGTGGATCTGGTTGGCTGCAAATTTGTGTTGATCCTCCTGCCTCTTTCTCAAGCGGTGGCTTGCAAGCATGCGCCACTGTGCCTGAGCTTTTTTGTTGTGTTTGGTGGTGCTTGTTGGGAGTTCAGTTTAGGACCTCATGCATACCAGGCAAGTCTGCCACTGGCTTAGACACTCACCACCTTGAAACCGGTTTGTTTTGAAACAGAATCTCAGAATCTCACTGCATAGCATAGGCTGGCCTTGTGCTTCTAAGTTCAAGTGGTTATCTGTCTGTCTGTCTATCTATCTATCTATCTATCTATCTATATATCACATCCATCATCAGACTATCTGTCTGTCTGTCTGTCTATCTATTACAATCATTATCAGGCAAAGGAAATACAGAAGTTGACAGTGTTTTTTGCACATGTATGCGTTTGTTCCAATGGAAACAGGAAGGAAAAAAAAAGCATCCTTCAAAGACTACAATGCATTCTGTCCTGAGATACCCTTGTTTCGTTTCCTTCCCTTTCTTTTCTTTTTGGGACAGGATCTTTGTATATAGCACCAGCTGGCCTGGAACCCCTCCTGCTTCTTCCTCCCAAGTGCTGGGATTGAAGGTGTATACCACCAAACCTGGCCTAGCTGCTAATATTTCACTGGATCCTCACAGCAGCCTTAGAGCAGGACTCAGATCCCCCCACCATGCTCTGCCCACCCTTGGGCGTCTTTGGCCTCTGCTAGGCACAGAGACTGGGCCCAAGGGGGATGTGGCTCATGCTTCTCTTCACAGGTATTATGGTGGGAATGAGTTCATTGATGAGTTGGAGACACTGTGTCAGAAGCGTGCATTGCAGGCCTATCATCTGGATCCTCAGTGCTGGGGAGTCAATGTCCAGCCTTACTCAGGTGATTGTTGCATCCACATAGACCCTGGGTAGCTAGCTCCTTAGGCCTGGCTCTATGGTGTTACAGCCATCAAGTCAAGTCCTACAAAAGGCTTCTCATACATAACAGAGACAAGCCAGGGAATATGTGCATCCATCTCCATTGCCTTTGGACTTACTTAGCTCTGCACGCCCCTCCCGAGTAGCATTCTGCCCTGGAACTTACTACCATCAGTGGGACTAGGAAAATCATGGTGATAGCCTGCTGAGTGATTGCCTAGTAGCCAAGCTCCCGGATGCCACTTTGTGTCTCATGGGTAGAAATACTCATGGCCTCTCCGTTCTCCCTGTTTCAGGCTCCCCTGCAAACCTCGCTGTGTATACTGCCCTGGTGGAGCCCCATGGGCGCATCATGGGCTTGGACCTGCCAGATGGAGGTCATTTGACTCATGGCTTCATGACAGACAAGAAGAAAATCTCTGCTACATCTATCTTCTTTGAATCTATGCCTTATAAGGTAGGGGTGTGTGTGTCCTCAGAGCTTTCCTTATGAGTTGGCACCCACGGGGAGAAGTAATTTCATTTACACAGCACTGCCGCATCTCCTTCTACTAGAAGGGGGGTTAAGGTTTGGGTCCAGGCTATGACATGATAGAAACTGTGACTGAGAAAGGATCAGATAGCCAGACCCCTAGCAACAGCTGCTGGCACAGGTCTGCCTTCTCCAAGGTCAGCAGAGTCCAGGAGGCACAGCTCTGTGGCCAGGCTGCCTCTTCCAGCAGCTCCCCAGGGCTCTCTTCTGTTCACCTTCCTCAGACCATTTGTCTCTCACTTCAGCCCCTGCCCATCTCTCCTGGACTCTCATCAGCTATCTGGTGCAGGGCCAGGGGTTTCTTTCTCTGCAGTGACAGCAACCCTGACCTTCTATTACTGTTCCTAGTTCACACCTCAGACTCCCTCCCTCTCTCTGGTCTCCTTCTACTTGGTAGCCTCTGTGCTACCCTGCCAGAAGGAAGCTTGCTAGCCTGTGAGTGCTCAGATGCTTCCAGGTGTGTGTCTTGGTTGTTGTTGGGTGTTTGTTTAAAGATTTAATGTACGTGTATGAGTATTTGCCTGTGTGTGTGTGTGCTTGTGCATGTGTGTGTGTATGTCTGTCTATGTATACATATATAAAATGTGTGTGTATCTGGTGCCTGAAGAGGTCAAAAAAGGGTGTCAGATTTCCTGGAACTGGAGTTACAGACAGTTGTGTGCATCTGGGTGGGTTCTGGGAATTGAACACGGGTCCTCTGCAAGAACAGTAAATGCTCTTAACTGCTGAGCCATTTCTCCATCTCTTGTCTTTATTGATTAGTCAGTGTCTTACGCTGTAACCTAGGCTGACTTTGAACTCATGACAATCCTTCTGCCTCAGCCAGTAGCTGGGATTATAGGCTTGGCTGTGCCTTTCTCATTTCCAGGGCTTTTTGTTCTGTAACATGGTGTAGTACCCAGGGCTGAGACTCCCCTTTATCCTGAGGCCCCTGTGAGGATTCCCAAGCCTATGTGATATTTACCCTTTTATACCCTTGTGCAAGCTGAATCCAGTGCCCTGCCTCGGGTCCCGGTCCGTGTTGTGGCAGGTTGAATGGGCTCAGGTGGGTGTGCAGGGCGCACTGTGTGGCCAGAGGAAGCAGCCAAGCCTGTGTCTTCCTGCTCCCACCAGGTGTACCCAGACACTGGCTACATCAACTATGACCAGCTGGAGGAGAATGCCAGCCTCTTTCACCCGAAGCTGATCATTGCAGGTGAGCGGCAAGTGGGGTGCAGTCTGGTTCCTGGGCAGGGCCTCTGCCTCCAGGGAAGGATGGAAAGATATCCCATCCTCCAGCTCACTGTGCAGAGCTCGTGACTTGAGACTTATTCTGTCCTTTTAAGACTCGGATTGCAAAAAGCTATTCTTTGAGCTAGACTGCTGCCATCTTCATGAGGTCAGCTGTGCCGGCTGACAAGGGTCCATCTTGACTGGGTCTGTGGAGGGTTGACAGGAGGGAGCTAGAAGAGTTATTGAACCCTCACCCAAGTGCCAGGCCACGTCTTCCGGCCATCTGTGCCGTTCTGCCTGCCCTAAGTGCGCGTGGCCTCCATGAGGGGCTGGAGTGTCTGCTGGGGAAGACGGGGAAGGGAGCTTTCTTTACACTGTTATGGAGAAGCCATCCATGCTGGTGAGGGCTTTCCAGGACAACTGCATCTGGGCCACCTACACTTCTGTCACTAACCTCTCACCCATAAGCAAGCCCAACAAGCTCTGGTTTCCCACGGTGAGCTTGTACTTTGGTTTGTTATTGGGATCATGTGAGGGAAAAGTAGACCTTGTCTGTATCCCTCTCAGACAAATTTTAACAGCTTGCCATCACTGGTGCTTAGTAGATCAGTGGTTGACGCCTTAGGCCTAACATGTATAAAAACACAGGGGTGGTTTTATGTTGTTTGACTGTTTTGAAACAAGTCTTATTGTGTAGCCCTGGCTGCTCTCAAACTCGGAGATTACTGGCTTTCCAAGTGCCAGGATTAAAGTGCCGTGTGTGTGTGTGTGTGTGTGTGTGTGTGTGTGTGTGTGTGTGTGTACCGCCACACTCAGCTCAGGGATGGTTTTGAGGACACACTGCACATCTGTCCTTAAAGATCGGGGGTGGGGGGGTCTCCTTGTAGATCTGTCCATCAGAGGTTGGCTCACTGCTCTGGACATCCTTGACACTCCTCTGTCACCTCCTGTGACTCAGGTACCAGCTGCTACTCTCGGAACCTGGACTACGCACGTCTGCGAAAGATCGCTGATGATAACGGGGCGTATCTCATGGCAGACATGGCACACATTAGTGGGCTGGTAGCAGCTGGGGTGGTACCCTCCCCTTTCGAACACTGCCATGTGGTGACCACCACAACCCACAAAACCCTGAGAGGCTGCCGTGCTGGTATGATATTCTACAGAAAGGGTAAGTTCCCACGTGCTGGGACAGGCAGAGGGTGGGTTAATATTTCCTGTGTGGAAGAAGCCGGGAAAACTCTGAGAGCTCCTCAGGAAAGAGCAGTAATGGGCTTTGAAGGAAGCCCCAAGCCACAGTTCTGGCCTGGGTATGTGTGACAGGAAGGGGCTTAGGCAGAGTCCTGCTCACCTGACCCTCCCCACAGGAGGAAGGTTGGGGTATCCAAGGGCTCCAGAATGCAGCAATGTTTTGATGAACTTGTTATGGTCTAGTATATTGGTCAGAGAAGGATTTTTTCTTTTTTTTTAAATACCATTATTGGTGGAGTACTCACATACCACAAGTCGGGGACAGAGGGCAACTTTTGGAAGTTGGTTCTCTCCTTCCATCGTGGGATCCAGGGATTGAACTCAGGTTGACAGGTTTGTACAGCAAGCACCTTTACCTGTTGAGCTGTCTCAGTGGCCCTCATAAAGACTAATGTGGCCTGGGTGTGGTGGTACATACCTATAATCCCAGCTCTTAAGCTGAAGCGGGGGGATCAGGCATTCGAGGCCAGCCTGAGACTCTGCTCGGAAGGGGGGTGGGGTGGGCAACAGTGCGACTATCCCACTGACACGCAACAATAATTAAGCTATAAAACATGGATACAGGAGTGGCATGGTGGTGCACATCTGTAATCCCAGCCCTTGAAGGTGTAGGCAGGAGACAGCTGAAAGTTCAGGGGCAGCCTGGTTGTCGTAGTTAAGTTCTAGGCCAGCCAGAGCTAGGTAGTCCATACTCATGTTTCATGCATAAAACATACAAATAACCTCGTTATGAGTTTCATCATTTTAGTAAGGTGTTTCTCTTCCTGCTACCTTACACGCCCCCTCTGTACATGCCCCCCTTATTCTGGAGTTGCCACGGTGGTGAAAGTCCTGTCAACAGTTAGGTAGCCTTGGAGAAGTGAGGAACTAGCCCTCCAGTGTGTCTTACCCTGGCAGGCTCTTATTGCCTTAGCTCTTATTGCCCACCCTATTGAGGGCAAGTCCTAGTCAAGTACCTCCTCAGTCTCCCAAGTCCTCTAGCCTCTGAGGGCCTTTGTCAGCTTGCTTGGTATGGAGTTGTTGAGTTGTTGGTTTGTTTGGGGTTTTTTTTGTTGTTGTTTGTTTGTTTGTTTGGAAACAGGGTCTCATTCTGTAGCACAAGCCTCCCGTCTCAGTCTCTCAAGGGATCAGATTATAGGTGAGGCACAAGTTGGTAGCTACTTTACTCGCCAAGGAGACCTTTGGTGTGTCTGCTGTGTGCAGTGGGACTTGTTGGTCCTCAGCCAGTCAGTGGATCTGGCCTCTCTTGCTGCTGTGTCATCTTGGGCCCCCATCAGCTTCTCTGAGTCTTGCTTCCTTATCTCTAGAGCCGAGGGTGCCACAGTAGCACCTGTGCCTCTAGACTGTGGGGATTCAGTGAGTTGACCCAGAGTGCTTCTCTAGCCGTTCTTGCCTTACAAGAATATGTAGGTGTTACTGATACTTACCATTCAGTAGGAATTGTCTTTACTATCTGCTTTTCCTCACAAAGAGTCATCTGAGCATTACTACATCATACTGTCACTGTCATGTTCCACACAAGCCCAGTGACTGAGTTCGATGCCCAGAATCCACATAAAGGTAGAACGGAAGTAAAGAACCAACTCTACAATTTGCCCTCTGACCTTTTCCATGGTACTTGCCATACATAGTACATGTGCGTTCACACACATATCATGCCCATACACAGTAATAGATTTGTGGGTTGTTTTTTGTTTTTTAATTTTTGAAATGCAGTTTCTGTGTAACAGCCCTAGCTGTCCTGGAACTTGCTCTGCATAACAGACTGACCTCAAATTCCAAGATCCTCCTGCCTCTGCCTCTGCCTCTGCCTCTTGAGTGTTGGCATTAAAGGTGTGCACCTCACACCCTTGCTAGAGTTGGTTTTTTTTTTTTTTTTTTGGTTTTTCGAGACAGGGTTTCTCTTTGTAGCTTTGCGCCTTTCCTGGAACTCGCTTTGGAGACCAGGCTGGCCTCGAACTCACAGAGATCCACCTGGCTCTGCCTCCCGAGTGCTGGGATTAAAGGCGTGCGCCACCACCACCCGGCAGAGTTGTTTTTTTAATTAAGGAAAAAAGGGAGGGGGTGGGGGAGAGAGGGTCCTGGAACTCACATCTGAGTATCCAGCCACTCATCTAACCAGTTGCATGCAAGTCTGCCCTAATAGCATGTGGCCAGACTATAGGCTGGTAAAGGATAGGGAAGGGGCATCTATCTAGGGAGCCATGGGAGAGTCATCATCCAGACTGAGTGCAGACTCCAGTGTTTCTGACTTAAGATTACCTGTGCTCTTGTCTAAACCATCACCGATTGCTTTGTAATAAACTCATTAGTTTTCCAGAATGTAAAAAAAGAAAAAAGGGGGCCAAGCATGGTGGCACACTCCTTTAATCCCAGCACTTGGGAGGCAGAGGCAGGCGGATCCCTTAAGTTCCAGGACAGCCTGGTCTACACAGTAAGTTCTAGGCTAGCCAAAGCTGCAAAGCAAGACTGTCTCAAAAAGGGGGTTGGGAGGTGGTGTACAACGGAAACCAGCAGTCCAGCCATCCGCAGGGGCCTTTTGCTCTGGCGTTGTAAAACAGCTTTCTTGCACCCCAGTCCAGGCTGAGGTGGGACTGCCTACACACATCAATTTGGCTGTGAGTCAAAGGAACTGGTCTGTTCGTTAACAGTCTCATTTCTTTACCAGGTGTGCGCAGCGTGGATCCCAAGACTGGCAAAGAGATTCATTATGAGCTGGAGTCACTCATCAACTCTGCTGTGTTCCCAGGCCTCCAGGGGGGCCCCCACAACCATGCCATTGCGGGTAATGTCACCAGGTCTATTGTAGAGCCCTTGGGTTGTACCCTAGCCGTCATAGCCCCACGAAGTCTATGATTCCCATCCTGCCTGTCCTCCAAAGGATGTTCCTGGACTTGCACACTGGAGAAGGAACTTGGGAGAAAATGTCTGTACAGGAAAAGGGGGCAGTTAAAAGTGGTACCAGGTGAGGACAGGAGAGAAGTGTCTGTTCCACTCAGATGGCCATCCTTAGCACTCTGCAGCAGGGCAGATATCTGAAAGATGAGTATGGCTGGCAGTGAAGCGAAGTACGGCCCAATTCTACGCGATGGGCTGCTTCTCTGCCATTAACCCCACACCCATGGGAACCCTCCAGGCTCTCCTCTCCTTTTCCCCTCTATTTGGACACATGGCTTATAGATAACCTGTAACAGTCTCGATCACCTCACTGTCATTTTGGCAGTGACTGTGGCACTTGCTGGTATTGAGGCACTCAGGACAAGGTGGGGTTTCTCAGGCAAGACACCAGTGTGTACACTGATACTGGAAAGAACAGCACATGGGGGCTGGAGAGATGGCTTCGCAGTTAGGAGCACTGGCTGCTCTTCCAGAGGACCTGCCTCCATTCCCAGCATCCACAGGGGGTTCACAATCATCTGTAACTCCAGTTCCAGGGACTCCAATACCCACTTCTGCTCTCTGCAGGCACCAGGCATGCAAGTGATGCACGCGCACACACATACATGCAAGCCAAACACCCATACACATAAAATTAAAAGAAATAAATGGGGCACGGTGACACATGCCTTTAATCCCAGCATTGGCGAGGAAGAAGAAGACAGATCTCTGAGCTTGAAACTAGTTTAGCTTAACACAGCTCATCGGTGGAGCACAGAGGATGCCTGAGGTGTGGGGCATGGGATGTAGTGGGCCCTGGGCAGGTTTTCAGGTTTCCCCACTGTGCTTGTATGCTTAGCTCTCATGGTTCCTGCTACCGAAGATGCTGGGCTTGCTGGTCCAAGTGTCTCCACAAGCAGACAGGAGGCTCCATAGCAGGACATAAGTGCATTTTGCATGGTGCTCTGCTTCTTCTCCCTTGTAGTCAAACAGCCCTCAGGAATTTACAAGGTGTCAGTGCACCTGAGTGGTGAGGGGCAAACGGGCCATCCCTTCTGGGGGTACAGCTCAGAGTGCTGCATTACGTCACACAAGGCACTGACTGACTTTGTTCATCCAGAGATTCATTTCCATATATCAAGCATAAAAAGGACTAAAAGCCATCCTTGTGGTAATCAGATTACCACTAGGCTTTCATCCCGAGAGATAAGATCACCTCTAAAGCAGTCCTGGGGAGTGGCTTCAGTGACTTCTGCGAGGGTGGCAGGGTAATTGTAGGGCTAAAACAATGACTATGGGGGTGCAGCACAACCGTAGTCCTGAGTTCTATCCCTACCACTGTAAAAGAACAGAAATGTATAATGGGGCGCGTGGGGGAGGGGTGTAATAATTCAGACACTGGGTTCCGTGAAAGCAAGGCCTGCCCCTGAGCCACCGTCTTTAAATCTGTCTTCTCCTCCAGGTGTTGCTGTGGCCCTGAAGCAAGCCATGACAACAGAATTCAAAATCTACCAGCTCCAGGTGGTGGCCAACTGCAGGGCTCTGTCCGAGGCCCTCACTGAGCTGGGCTACAAAATAGTCACAGGTATCCGGAATGCACACAGTGCTGGGCGGACCTCCTCTCCTGGGGGGGTGTTGAAGTCTTGCCTCTCCCGGTTCATCTGGTTAGGGTGTGGTCGCCATCACTGCAGTGGTTCCTGCCACCTCAGGCGGCTGAGCAGACCCTCAGCTGCAGGTCCTATCCTTCTGTGTGCCTTTGTAGCTGCCACGCGACACCCAGTATGGGGACTCTGCACATTCTGAGAATAGCTGAGACTCACCTGAGAGATGTCAGGTTACAGCTGTCACCCATTTGCAGGGGGCAGAGCCAGCATCCTTCCATTTGGTGATAGCTCACACCATCCATGAGGCCAGGGCACACTAGGCTCTCCCTGGTTCCTGTCAAGTATTGAGTATAAAATATGATTCTCATAACAGCCTTGTGACATACCTGTCATTTTTTGATCCGGGCCCCTGGGGTTCCAGTATGTTAGCTGATGGAAGCGGGGCTGCAGACAGACGTGGGGCTGCAGACACTGGACTTGGCTGTGGATCTGCAAAACTAAGCTGTAGACTTAATTAAGCTGCATCTTTGGAATCATCCCTGAAGAACAGCCTGGGGTTGACGTGAGAACAGTGGTCTTCCAAGGTCACAGCATGGCTTAATCAAAGTTCAAAGTGGAGAGACCTAGAGCCTCAGGATCTTCATGACCTTGGGCTTGGTCCAGAAAGTTCTGTTATCATCAATCCTCCTCTGTTACCAGCTGTGTCCACCAAGTGCCTGAGATAATCAGCTTAACACAAAGACACACTAGCTCACTTTTGGAGTATCTGGTCCAGTCCACAGTAGATTACCCAATTAGCTCCTTTACTTTTGGGCAGGTGCATCATGGTAGGAGCTTGTGGTGGAGCACAGCCATTTAGCTCACAGCCAGGGAACAAGAAAGAGAAGGGGCTAAGATCCCACAGTCCTCCAGTGACTTAAAGACCTACTAAGCCTGTCTTTTGGGGGATGGGGGCGTGTCTTTTTGAAACAGGGTTTCATTATATAGCCCAGGCTCGCCTGCCTCCAGTTCCAGAATGCTGGGTATGATATAGGCATACACCAACCACAGTGCCCAGCATCAGTCCCATCTCTCAGGTTCTGTTACCTTTTGACAATGCTAGAATAGAGAGCAAGCCTTTAATACCATGAACTTTTAGGAACCCTTGAGATCTGAATCTTAGCCTTACCTATGTCACGAATACATATCTCCTTTGAAATCTGAAGGCTCTGAACACAAACCAGATGCCTACAAAGTTTTGGATTAGAATTTGTGTGTTAGGGATGCTCAACCAATAAGGCCTAGCAAATATTCTAAAATAGGAAAACACTCAAATTTCAAAACACTGCTTCTGGTCTAGAGCATTTTGAATGAAGGGTAGTCAGTCTCTTTTACAAGCCTCATGGGGTTTGGAACAAAAGCACAGAGCCTCCTGAACATGTAGTCATTACCTCATCTCCATGAGTAATTGAACCTCTACTAACTACTCCGGTGCTACTTAAAAGGAGATCTTTTTGTTATTGGTTTGGTTTGGTTTTGATTTTTTGAGATAAAAGTCTCAGTATGTCGTCTTGGCTGGCCTTGAACTCATGAGATCATATGCCTCTGCCCGAGTGCTGGGATTGATTGAAAGCATATAACACTATACCTGTCCCAGGAGGAGCCTCTTAAAACTGGCTTCAGAAAGGCTAGGAGTGTGACTCAGTGGTAGAACATTTACCTAGAGTCATTTAAATGTCACAGAATATGAAAAGCTGAGCTCTTCAGCCTGTGTGGGTCTCTACCATGGCCCAGGCAGTCTGGGCTATAGAAGCTGCTGGACATTTCAGCCAGAAGCTCCACACCCCTTTATGTGGCCAGTTATGTCCTCTTCCCAGTTCCTAGGTTTGGAGCATCTCTGCCCACCTCTCCAGAACAGCACGTTCTTTCCCTTGTGTGGCCAACCTTCTTTAGTCCATTGTATCCAACTGTTTCCAGGTGGTTCTGATAATCATCTGATCCTAGTGGATCTCCGTCCCATGGGCACCGATGGCGGAAGGGCTGAGAAGGTACTAGAAGCCTGTTCTATTGCCTGCAACAAGAACACCTGTCCAGGTGAGACCTGTGGTTCTTCCTTCCACAGCCCTCCTATCTGCATTTCTTTCCGTCAGTGTTGGAGTTGAAGTATTCAGCCTAGGAGACACACCACAGTAGGGGAAGGGCATTGACTGTAAGAGAGGCAGGGACTCTTTAAACAAGTAGCATTTCTCCTGTCAGGCCCAGACAGATGTTAACCTCTGAAGGACCCAGAGCCACACCGTGGACTGCTTTTCATAGGTTAAAACAGTGGTCCATACGCTTTATCTTCAGACCCGCGTTTTTAAATCAGTTGCCTCCTTGCTAGATCAAGCTGGGATCCGTTTTTTTTTTTAAATACAGCGGGCACAGTGGTGTGTTTGGCACAGCTCAAGACCTTGTCTGTCTTAAAGGTGACAGGAGCGCCTTACGGCCCAGTGGACTGCGACTGGGGACCCCAGCATTGACATCCCGTGGACTTTTGGAAGAAGACTTCCGAAAAGTCGCACGCTTTATCCACAGAGGTAAGGGGTAAGGTGCTGGAAGTTCGAATGCCTTGTGTGTATGGAGTGTTTAGTAGCTAAGACCCAGCCGCTGGTGAAAGCTGGTCTACAACCCAGTATGGAGTTTCTCAAGTGTTTAGGAGCTAAGACCCAGCCGCTGGTGAAAGCTGGTCTACAACCCAGTATGGAGTTTCTCGAGTGTTTAGTAGCTAAAATCCAGCCATTGGTGAAAGCTGACCTACAATCCCTCTTGTCTGAGGTTTGTAGATGTCTATTGCCAAGGGACACATTCTAGAATCACCTGAGGAGAACATTGACACCTGAGTTACAGCAGGACATGTAGTGAAGGAAGCCACACATGGCACCATTGTCTTTTGCACAGGGATAGAGCTTACTCTGCAGATTCAGAACGACATGGCCGTGAGGGCGACACTCAAGGAGTTCAAGGAGAAGCTGGCAGGGGATGAGAAGTACCAGAGTGCTGTGAGGACTCTCCGGGAAGATGTGGAGAGTTTTGCTTCCAACTTCTCAATACCTGGCCTGCCCGACTACTGACAGCTAGCACAGCCAGCATCTCCCATGAGGGGAGGACTGCTCCAGGACCCCGTGAGCCCTGTCCCCTCTCGAGTGGACAACTGAGCCTGCACTGTGCTGTGGAGGGTTTCTGACCGGCTGTTCTCGTTTCAGATTCTGGGACAGGCTAATAAGGACTATAAATTTGAAACTTCACTTCTCAGCAGCTTTATATAATGAATTATTTGGGGAAAAAAGTACTATGTAGCCATTTGATCTCACTTATTGACTGCAGCATGAGGCAGAGCTATTAAAGATCCCAGAATTCTCCTTTCCCCTTTCTCAGTGGGCCCTGTGGCAGGTAAGGAAATGTCCAGGTTCACTCTTGTGTTTTCTATTATTCCTGTTCTGTTGCCCAGTAGGATGCCAGAGGAGCACTAAGTTTTCTGCTCTGAGTTTGATATATAAACTAGACATATATAAGATGCCAGGTGGTGGTGGTACACGCCTTTAATCCCAGCACTTGGGAGGCAGAGGCAGGAGGATCTCTGTGAGTTTGAGGCCAGCCTGGTCAACAAAGCAAGATCCAGGAAAGGCACAAAACTACACAGAGAAACCCTGTCTCAAAAGAAAAGAAAAAAAGGAAAAATGACTGTCAGTCAGCAGCTTGAGGTATGTTACAGAAGGCTAGAGGTGTCACTTAGAGGCATTGCACATTCAGTGTATATGATGTCCTGGGCTCATGCCTACCACACAAACAGCCTTGTAGAACTGGCTATTTCTATGATGTGCAAATCCCATTCTGGTTTCAGAATCAGCAGAGGCCAAAGGCTTTCTTTGTGTTCCACCTTCCTGAGATAACCAGCTTCTTATAATTAGGAGCCCAAATGCTACCTTCCCAAAGAGTCTTTATTTTTACATAGCTGAATTGCAAACCATTGGTGACTTCTTAATACACACAATCCAATTTTTACCCACAGAATGTCTACAAGAATTATAGCTTTAAAAAATACAACCAGTTTTTATATTTTAAAAATATTTGAACTCAAATAAATTAATATCTTAAAAAGTACACTCCTCATACTATTTGTTTGGCATTTACTCTGGTTAAACTTGTGCATAATGCCTGTGGGACAGTCACGTCAGCAGTGCAGTGCCCTGTTCCAGTACTGTGACTGCAGCTTGCAGCTTTGGACACATACTCACAGACATGGCGGGACATGCAGTAATAAAATAGCGTCTTAGAAAATAACAAGAGTTCATCGCACACCGTGCCGCTTGCTAACTGCTGTATGCCGCAGTCCAGCTGTCCAGAAGATAGTTTGGCCAAGGCTCCTTGGGAGCTGGTCCATTTCCATGGGGTGTGGTGGCATACTGGTCCCCTCATCTCCGATTGTGGGGCTGCTGCACTGCCTTAGCAATCTTGATTCCAGGAACTTAATTCTTCCTGCCCAGGTGAAGACAGCTCCAAGTAGGGCCTCTGCAGGACGCTTTTCCCCCACTGCTACAGCTCATCTCTTCCTGCTGTTCCTTCCCAAAGCTTTAACTTAACCAAACCATAGTGGGCCAAGGGCTCGGGGAAACTGTTTAAGCTCAAGCAAGGCTTTGTTTTCAGAGCAAAAGAAATCTAATCTCTCCTTTCTGCAGCCTAAGTATGAGTGTGTCCCTTAAAAATTCCAATTTGATCACAGTATTAGGGTAAAGCCAGAAAGCTGGCTAATTTGTTTCAAAGTACAAGCCAAGGCACTTTCTCAGGAGCTTTCTAGGGAGAAGTAGAAAGTATCTCGCATGGCCTACTGCCATGAGGATTTGGTACTTCCAGAGGCCTTGCATACCTGATTTGATGCGTCATCCCCAACTGGGTGAGCTACTGCTACCCAACCCAACCATCTGGGAGATAAACCATGGTGGCTGTAGCACAGGACATTGGTCCAATATGTAGCACTCAGGCTGGGGAGTGGCATGCACTGAGCAAAACAGGCCAGTGGCCAAGATGCACACAAGATAGCAGCTCTCCTGGTACCACACAGCACTGTTGGCTTTGATACTTGGCAAGGGCGAAGGGAGGTCTCCTGGCTTTCCTAGGGTTATGAGATGGGAACTAATTCAGATAAGGTTGAAACCCTAAAGTAAAAGAGGAGTTAAAGATCAAATCAGGAATGACAGGTCACAAATGAAGTCCAGTTCCAAGTTTAAGAGTAACTTCAGCTACTTCAGTAGCAAATCATGGAGAGGTTAAAGTATTTGTTTTTGAGACAAGCTCTTATGTAGACCAGTCTGGTCTTGAACCCAGAGATGCGCCTGCCTCTGCCTCCCAAGTGCTGGGATTAAAGGCATGTGCTACCACCACCTGGCTGAGTTAAAACATTGTTAATTCAAGGTTCTACTGAAGGGAAATGGTGAGGCAGAAGGTGGCAACTCAAGCCAGTATATTCCATATATCCCCCATACAGAAGACCATGGACTGACCTCAACAATGGAGCATGTGAATGTTCAGTAATGTATAAGCATTACTTGTACAACGATAGAAGTGTAATACACCAGCTCAGTTGGGTGGTTCTTAAAGTAGACAGCTTTAAAAACAGGAAGGGAAGTAATTGCTTGGTAGTCAAGTTGAAAGAAACCTGACTTAGCAGTTTTAGTGTTAGGAATCAAAATGATAGGAATAAAGAAGGAGGTCTATTATCTTTCTGTGAAGTGTTTTTCATAGTATAATTTAAATTATCTAGGCTAGGATGTAGCTCAGCTGGTAGGGTGCTTGCCTAGTATTTATAAAGCCCTGGGTTCATTCCCCAAAACTGTACAATCTAGGCATGACAGTCCTGCAATCTCAGCATGTGGAGGCAGGAGGATCAGAAGTTCAAAGTCATCCTTAGCCTGGGCTATATGAGACTGTCTCAAAAGAACAAAACAAACAAAAGCCTTACTAGCCTAGAACTTGAGAAAGGGTGGTGAAACCTTTTGTTCTTTGAGAAAGGGTGTCATCATGTAGCCCTGGCTGGCCTGGAACTCATGTAGATCAGGGTGACCTCTAGCTTACAGAGATCCACCTGCCTCTGCCTCTTGAATGCTGGGATTAGTGTGTGCCATCACACCCAACGACCTAATGGAAATGTCAGGAGTTGAGTCCTGCTGCATAGGTCTCCATAGCATCAAGGTGTATAGATACACTACTTATAGAAGATGCCAGTTCTCCTCTGTCCAAACTCAGTCCCAATGGCTAATACCCTCTGAGAGGAAGCATGCTTTCAGCAGTAAGCAATCCTTTCAAATCACCACAACAAAGTTTTAAAACTAAGTTTCATTGCAGACATCAGGTCTGGTAGCATGCCTATAGTCTCAGCCATCGGGATGTAGAGGCAGAAGGATCAAGAGTTCAGGGTTATCCCTGGTACATACTGAATTTGAACCCAACCTGAGTTACATGAGATCCTGTCTCCAAAACAAAACAAAAAAGTAAATCCTGGACTTGGACCCCTTGTCAGTGTGTACTTAGTGAGGAGCCATTGAAGCCAGGCACCTGTTTGCCATTTCCACAGCTGCTCCACAAGACTGTTCTGCCCACTCCACACCAGGCTTGGCTTTGTCTTCTGAGTCACCTGTGGATGAATGCCAGCGAGATCCAAGGAGCTCCACTTGAGACAACTCAAGTCTGTGCTTTTAGTATCCACAAGGCCAAGCGTGGCTGCAGCTCATTCGCCTTTCTTAGTGCAGGGAACACAGTGTTCACCTTCGAGTCCCCATGCTGAGGCAGTAGCAACAGCAACTGACCACCTCCCAGCCTGGCTCCTGAGGAAACTAGCCAACCAGTCAAAGTGGCATCTAGAACACTAAGAAGCAATAGCAGATGGGGGAGCCCATGAGGGGAAACCACAGCTGCTAAGGTGTCTGTAAATACCTGTAAGAGACAGTGACAAAATCTTGGTTCTCTGTCAGAGTCTCAGAAGCAAAACCACATACTACTGTCTAGAGTGAAGTGGGGATCATGACCTGAAGCCATGGACCAGAACCAACAGGTTGCAACTTTGTGTCAAAGACCTGGGCAAGAAACGTGACACAGGAGTGGCATGCTGCAAGCCATCTTTGGTTATTTGGCTTCTGCAGGGTTCCTTCTCGTGAGAGACCTCAGTGGTGTGACCAGCTGACAGACCTGTGCAGGGAACACAGCACCTAACAGATGCATGCACGGGGCCGACCTGGGTCCCATTTACTACAGGGTTTTGTTTTTGTCTTTAGCTAATTAAAAAGCAGTTATGACCAGAGCTGCTCCTATTTAGGGAGAACACGTTTTCAACAGGTCTCACATTTTCAGGATTGTGAGGAGCACTCACTCCATGCAGCACATGGAGCATAAGAGGAGCAGCTGCAATGGAGGTCTTGGGGAGGTCATGACGATGGCCACCTGTGGGTCAGGTGGGGACCACTCACATGTGGATGATTGTAAGGATGGAGGTGCCTCCCAGATGTAGGTCTAATGACAGCCACTCAGGAGCTGGTACAGGATATCCTTGCTCCTAAGTTCCGGTCAGAACATGAGCTAGCCAACCAGACCTCAGTTGTCACCAAGCCCACAGCCACCAGGAGAGGTAACAGTGCTGCAGACCTTTCCAGGGGTGTCTGGGTTAATGTCCTGGCTGAGAAGAGCCCGTAGGCAGCTCCTGTCATAGACAGTGAGGAATGGCCTATGGCCTGCTTTATCTACAGCTCCCAATGTAGTTCTGGCTGTAGCCGTGTGACATCTGCTTCACATCCAGGACCCCTGTAAGGAATGACCCCTGGGGACTCAATGAGCACTTCCTTGACAGGGAAGATAGGGGAAGGGGCCACTTGTGGTCTGCATCCCCCACAGCCCAGGTGTGTCTTTCTCCAACTGACCAGAGCACTGGTTCCTCCGTGTCCTTGTTCAGGAGCCTCCCCTCAGTTGCTGGGGTCCAGGAAGCCAAGTACAGGGCCTTGGTAGAGGTAGATGGAGACGATGGCTGTCCTGTGTCCTATACACCAGTTCCCAGGCTGATTCTGCCACTCAGGTGTCATCTGGGCTTTGGCTACTTAGCCTCATCTGCTCCAGCCCCACAGGGTCTGGAGCTTTCTCTTCCTGCCCAGACTGCTGATCCTTGGGAAATTAAGGACACCCCCTTATTTGGTGGCCACTTCCCCATGGAACCAAGAGCAGCTGCTGTTCTTCCAGCCACCTCTGGGGAGCCAGGCTCCACCTCTGCTCGGCCCACTTCACACACTGCCCAGGACTAGATGGGAACCACAACTGCCACCTGTTTCCTTCTGCTGACACCAGAAAGCTCAACACTCCAGCTCAGGCAAGTATTTAGTCAC